TCCTTCTTCGATTTCGGGACGATGTAACTGGTCTCTGGCAACCAGGAGATAGTTGCCCGTGGAGATCTGGGATGGGAGTTCGTGGTGAGTGGATTGGTTTAAATTTGATGATATTCCATAATAAAATAGAAAGTACTTTAATATCTATTTGTCGTTTGACTGTCAAAACAGCAATGCAGCACCCTGACTCACGTTCAACGGGCCCCACCTCAACTGTGCCAGCTCACACTCCTTAAATACGTTCTCGTCCCAAGATCCTTCGGCCCAAACCAGCCAGCCAAACATATTCAAGCTCACCCGTTTGCTACTTGGTGGTGATTCCATGCGCAAGGTGATCAACATGTTTGCGAGGCTCCGCCCATCCAATTTGTCTTCAATCCGCCTGGGCTGAAACTCTGTAGAATTATCGATCAATTCTTAGTATTCTCAAATGACTAAATATTTGGACACCAATAAACCTTAAAATAATAAATAAACATGCCAACCAAACTGGTCAAGGTGCCGTATCTCTCCTCTGTGCCCACCCGAAACCTTCTCTGACGTCAAGTGCGGTGCCAATACGATGGCAATGGCAGTCGTGGGGTTCCGGCTCAGGACCTTGTGAATGATTGCAGTGGCAAAGTTAAGCTGCTTGTTGTCCATCCGACCAAACTTGGTCATGTCTGCCCAAACAATGAAGCCAGTGGTTCCAGCGGCACCGGTGGGCTTGCGAGCAGCCACGAACTGCCAAAAAAAGGTTTTAATTGTCAAAGGTTAAAGCTTTTAACTCAATGGAATCTGAACTTTTGTGATCATGTAGCAACTGAAATTTGAAAACCATTTAATTTCAATTCAATGTAGTTGAGAATGGACTCACAGACACACGATTTTTAAATCCATCGGGCCTGATCTGTGATCGTCAGAAGATCCACCTCTGTGCCAGCGCGGTGGCATGCATTCCTGTTCATGAAGTCCTCAATGATGCTTCCGCCAATTGTGTTCTCTGAGCGCATGTGCATGATCTTCTTCATCCTCTCTGCCTTTTGGCTCTGCTGCGATGCTGCCAAAAGCCGCCCCAAGGACGCCACGTCCCGTGCTAATTGGAGAGTGTCATGCTCCCATGCCTTGCGGCGAGCGTCCACGGACAGCGCTTCCAGCTTTGAATCTGCTTTCTGCAATGCATCTTCTGCAGGGGCATCACAAACAGGCTTCTGCCTGAAATCGTTCCAAAGCGCCATGTCCTTGCAGTCGAAGCTGGGATCTTTGGTGTTCAAGGTCTCCGACACTTCAGCCAGAAAGTCCCTGCGATTGTTGCTACTGCTGTCAAAGTTAGATCAAATTCACACTTACTCAATGACAAAAAAACAAAAAATTCAATTTGAACATAATCCATGGCACCCTTCCACCATTCCCAGTCTGACCTTAGCAACCACATCTGGTGGGAACTCGTCACTGAAGGACTCCATCTGAGCCAGCACGAAACCCTGGAGACACATACGATCAATCTCCAAGGTCAACTGATCGCCGCTGAGCCGTGTGATGCATGATTTTCCTGCACGACGGAGTTGAATGTCGTGCAGGTAGAAAAGCCGATCGAGCAGCAACACTTGCTTGAACTCAGTGACCATCAGAATCTGATGCCACAGGCCGCTGCTTGTTTTTGCCACGCTGCCAATCAACCATCGAGTGTTTGACATGCTCGATGTGCTGAAAGCTGTCAGGGCGGGCTGAGAAATTGAAACTGATTGTGATTGAGAAGCTCACGACGACGGGTGAATAGAATGGCATCACGCAAACTGGAGCACGCGCGAACAGGAGTATGGTAATTCTGATATCCCCTTGCCCCCTGCCTGATCCCTGGAAGGAGCACTTGTGGAAGTGACGCTCAAGCATCCTCCATGCCTGAAGGCAAATGCCCACCTGACCAGGTCTATAATTGAAACGATGTCTAGAATTGAACATCTCAGTGTACCCATGGTTGAATTTTAGTAGACAATACAATATTGTAAAAAAATGTTCAAAAGCACAGTCAAGCAACTTTCATGCCATAGAGTTCAAGAGCCTGCTCAGGGTCAATCTGGAACTTGGCGTTCCCAGCTGCATGGCCAAAGCGGTTGAACTCCTCAATTCCATCCAGGAAAGCTGCCTTGTAGCCATCCGGTCCAGAGTACTTATGAGGATCCTCTTAGGGTTGCCAATGACTTCTCAGCATGTTGTGCCATGAAACTCGAATGCTCCTAGTTTGCACTATGAGGCTTTGAAGTACAGTATACAGTTACTTACTGTTTTGGTCGTTAAAACAATTCAATGTTAACAGCCACTGTGCCTGATGCACCTTTTCATCTGCACGCTTTGAAAAGGTAAGCGCTTTTTGCATTGGGCTCTTCCGCTGTCGCTCACTCTGACTTTCGTGAACTTGCAATCTCCGCCAATCGTAATGATGGCTATGTGATTGCAGCACCACCACAACAAAGATCGAAGTCACTGTTTTCAGCCACCTGGAAGTCCAAAAACTGTTTTTTTGGGGGGATGGTCAAACGACGATATTTTGGCAAATATACGACGACGTTTTGGTATTATGGCAAACATACGATATGATGGTTTCGGTCGGAGGATGATATTTTGTGGGGCTCAGGGACGATGGTTTGGGTCGGAGGATCACGGGACGTGATATTTTG